TGTCACTGCCTAATTTCTCTCTCTCCCCTTTGCTTTCACAAGCACCAGGGTTTCCCAACACCAGCCCCGGGGTCAGCCCACAAACAAGCAGTGGCAGAGCAGGGTGAGGAGCCCTCTCCATAATTGCTCTCCCTCCTGCCTCGCTGGCAAGAGGACACTTTTCAGCCCAATTAATTTTTCCCTTCCTCCTCTGCACAGGCAGGGACATGGTGAAGTGTTTCTTGGAGATGCTCACCCAGTGCACAGGGCAGCCCTGTGCCATGGTCCCCAACGCTGACTCCCTCCTCCTGCTGCCAGCAAAGCTTTTAGAGGTTTCAGCAAACACTGAGCACAAAATTGAGCCAACTCTAACCTAAAACAAACCCCAACCTTCCCCCTAAAGAGCCACATTCTCACTGAAGAGCAGCTTCCTTTTTATTGCCAGGGTTTTGCTCCAGCTTGGGCTGCTCCTGGGAGCTATCAAACCACTCTGACAGTGAAGTTTCACCTTTGTGGGGGCAAAATGCAACCAGCTTGACCAAAGAGTAGGAATTCTTATTTGCCTGTGCCAGGCATTGGGCTCACAATACTGGAAACACACCTTTAAATTCTCCTTTGGCAGGGATAGGCACATTTAGGAAAGAGAAAGATATCCTAATAGATCCAAGCTCTGCATCCACTCGCCACATTGCAAACTTTTGGGCTGTCCTTTTAACTTGTTACCTGCTAAATATTGTCACAGATGGGTGCAACACAGCTGCCAGGGGATGGGCCATGCTTAGAGCAGCTTGCTGGTCCCAAGAAAAACAAGAGAGAAGGGTTTTTTTTCATTATAATTTCACTGTACCAGCTCACCACCAAACAAGTTTCTAATTCTAGTTCAAAAGCAGTCAAGTAAATTTACATTTTCCAAATTATTTCTAAGGGAAACATACATTTGGGATTGGGGAGCAGTTCTCTGTCACAGCAGGTGAACAGGTTTTCCCCATGAAAAGCAGTCAAGTAAATTTACATTTTCCAAATTATTTCTAAGGGAAACATACATTTGGGATTGGGAAGCAGTTCCCCATGGGGTGTGCCCAGCAGGGTTGAGAGGACTCCAGCTGGTAACCACCTCAACTTGGTGGCAATCCCACCAACAGTGCAGATCCTAGGGGGCAGCTGGATTCTACAGCAGCATCACTCGCCTGTAGGATCAGATCCTTCCACTTCATTTTAAAATTCCAGCACAGGAAATGTCATTTTTTTCCAGGCTCAAGAGAGTTTTTGGAGTAGAGGACTTGCTGCCACACACACACATGAACAGAAACCTTAGCAAAGAAGAGACTGAATTATCACTATTATTATTATCCCCAGCTGAAAAAAAAACCCAAGCTCACTTTTAGATCAGGTACTAAACACATTTTTCTCCTGGTTTTGATAATTTGACAAGAACTATCTACTTAAAACTCCTTTTTTTTTTTTAACTTCCAAGTCAGAATTTTATTTTCTACTCCAAAATCCTCAAGTTTCAAGCATGGGATGGGACAACACAACAATAAACAGCACATTTAAGAACAGGTTGAAGAACACTTTCACCTTTAGCTTTTCTTCTGCAGTTTATTATATAAATTATGCTTTTAAACACTTAGAGCACTCACATTTGGAAACAGATGATGTTTAGTTCCACACTGAGATACTAGTGCAAAGAGTGGTTTACCCAAGTGCAAGTAACTCACATGTCCCCCACTGACAGCCAGGGGATTAGGCTGGTTCTAATTAACTCCTAAGGCTGTAACTAACAATTAGGTGACGTGCACTAAATCTGAGTATGTTGTAGTCAACAGGAATACTGGACTCTGGCAATAACCAAATACTCTGACAGTACAAACAACAGGAGAACAATTTGACTTCAGGCAGAGCTGTGAATTCACTGGGATTGGAGACCACCACCACCATCATTTTCCTGACCCCCACTCTGGTTACAACTCAGTGGCTGCCAAATGTTCTCTCTGACCTTCAGTTCCAATCATTAAAGCACAACAAAGCTCCCACGTGGGCCTGGTACTCCAGTGAATGCCACAGGTCATCTTTGGCACATCAGACAGCACCTGAACACCAAATACAGAAACAGGAATGAAAGAGTTTGGATCTGACAAGGGGATCAATGAGAGAGCTCCAAGATCCTCCTCATCTCCAGTGCCAATAATCGCTGCTGAAAAGGTGATTAAACCAAGACTGAAATACAGCAATGCCTCTCAGTCACATAATACACACTAAACCCCATGTTTCATTAAATCCAAGCAAAATAAACCTTATTCAACCAGTAGATGCCAGTGTAGGGGGTCACTGGAGTGAAATAGAGGCCACCTTGCCAGAAGCAGTCGTTAGGATCTCAGAAATCTGCATTCATTTCACTTAAAGAACTGCTGCAATGTAAAACCCAAGTGAGACACTTCATAAATAACAGCTTTATTCATCAGTTTTCTGTTTCACATTCTTTAAAGGGATGTGGAATTGAAATCTGCATAGTCAAGAGTGAAATAAAAGAGAAAAGAAGTCAGACCCAGATGTCAGTGTTGCTTTTTTAAGTTAAGACTGGTCACCATCAGAGGAATAAGCAACCTCCAGAAATAAATAACCAAGGAGATGTGGAAGGGGTGGGGATGAAAAGCACCAGGAACACCCTCATTGATGTATCTCTCTATTCCTGAAGCCTTCACACAAAGACACACAACACCCATCCAAGATCATGGGCACAGCAGAACGTAAGCTCCAGGAGGAAGCTGCTTCCTCCCTCCACTGCATGAACTGAGTATTTCCATCATTCTAGGAATCACTCCTAACACACACTTCTAAAGCAGTATCACCTCCCTTCTTTTTTTAACTCCTCATACTGCCCTTGCTGCTGATGCTACTGGCAGCTGGCTGGAAGGGCAGGTGAAGAGGACCTCTGAGTGCCCACGCAGTGGCTCAGCCTGGGGATGTGGTCTGCAGCAGGACCCCCAGCTTCATTCCCAAAAGCACAGGCAAGAGTCCCAAGTCTCCCCCCTCAACACCACAACGTGGACTCTGCAGGTAGTATTTTTAATCTTGACACCATTGACTGCTCTAACTGTTGTTCTCTGCATTAGAACCATCATCATCAGAAAAATCTAGAGGGGAAAAACAAAAAGGCATGTCCCCTATGTGACAGCTGTGGGTAGGAAAGACTCCCACACTGTCCACACACTGCTGAGAGGCCATTTCTCACCTCCAGTCCTGATTGCTGCAAAGGAGACACTACTCTACAGCTGAGCATGAGTTTAAATGCAGAATTCTCTTATGCTGATCAGTGGGAAAAGCTGCCTGATGCCATCACCCTCATCTTCACCATGCACAAACTAGGCTAGTGCAGTCATAAACTTCAGTTACAATTGCCTTGGTTAGGTTCTGAATTATTCATCCTCTTCAGATGCACAATCTAGGCAGTGGGGAACTGATATCAATGTTGAATCATACAAGGAATTAAGTCTCATTTATTTGCCATGAGACTACAGGCTTTAAATCTGAGATTCAAGCCCAGGAGGGTCAAGAGAGAAAGTCAGAAGTACATTTGCTGATGGAGATATTAGAAGCATAAGGACAAAGGTATTTTGGAGAAGACCTGCAACAGTGAGTGAAAGGGATTCAGTAAGAACACTCGAAGCAGTTTGTGCTTGTACAAAGGGAAATCAAACTGCACATCAAAACTCAACCCCAGCATGATGAATCAGTGACTCCAGGGTGGAAACTCTGCCTTCATTTGACAGGTTCAAGTGAAACATCCCCAGCACACAGCAGACAGAGGTGCTTCAACACCCCTTCTTCCAAAATTACCTGCTTTCTGCTCAGAGAACCAATGCATTCAAAGATGGGGAAAACCAGAAGTGTGGAACCAAGGACTGCAGATCACCAAATTTTAACCCACCCGGGCAGCCAGCAGCTGCCACAGCAGTCAGGTTTCAAGGCAACACCACAGAAAACAATCCAGCCTGTCCCACTTCAAAACACCAAAAAGAGAAGTGGCCAATTGGGCGTGGGCTGAGAAATTTTCACAAGAGCCACTGGCAACAGGTTGGTGCTTTTTTTGCCCTGGCAATTTCACAGGCAAATCTGGAAAACCTCAAATTGAATTAAATTAGGAACAGAATATTTAGTGTAAAGGTTTTCTTCAATTCTTCAAGAAATCCCCTGCATTTCTTGCATTGCTTGAGGGGTTTAATTCATGAGAGCAGCAGAGTAAGACCACTTTTGACATTAGTTCAGGATTTACATTGGCACAGCTGACTTACATTATTTGTACTTTTTAAAGGTGATGCTTGTAAGGGCATTGAATCAGATTTTTCTTTTACTCAGGACAAAATCCTACAATAAATGCAATTTGGTAGTCCAAAAAAAACACCTTTAACAGAAAATGAAACCACTTGGTAGCCTTCTGTGTTTCAGGAGAATATCCCACGTGTCCAGATCATCAGGCAGCCTCACTAGCGAAGACACATTAAAACAAAACATTTTCCATTAAAGTTGCCAAAAAAGTGGATTGAAATTTATTGCATGACGTTGCATAAGAAAGTATATTATTGAAAACTGTAAGGCATCATGCAATTACCCATCAGCTAATTATTTATTATTCCTTGAAAGATGGTTATAGACTTTAAAGTTATAAAACCGGTTTCAAAAAAGTACATAAAAAAATTTAACGAGAGCATTAAATATTATTTTTTTTTTTCACATGTTTGTAGTTTTTCTTTTTTTTAGCTGTTAAAAAGTGCATTCAAACATACTGTACTGGAAAGTTGCTCTGACCCAAAATGGGGCTGGAGACTTGTTAAATTAAAAGCTGCAAAAGAAGGCGGCAGGGGATTGGAAAGCTCACAGGGGGGATTGGAAAGCTCACAGGGGGGATTGGAAAGCTCACAGGGGGGACTGGAAAGCTCACGGGGGGGACTGGAAAGGTCACAGGTTGTACTGAACAGGGGGGATTGGAAAGCTCACGGGGGGGACTGGAAAGCTCACAGGGGGGATTGGAAAGCTCACAGGTTGTACTGACAAACTTGCCTGGAAGAATTTTTCCCTCCTCACTCTTACAATTCAGCCTACATGACAGAATGAGCTAAAAAAGGTGGATTTTTAGAACTAAACAGTCGAACGAATGGACGCGACGTACGCCGAGTGATCAAATAAGGAGCAGACTAAGCACTCAGGGAGGGGAGAGAAGGTACTGGTGGGATTTTGGCATTAATCAATGTACTGTGCCATCCAACGGAAGCCTTCTCCATAGCCCTGTCTCTTCAGCACGCTGCACATGAACACCTCCAGCGGCCTGGCGTTCAGCTCCTTCAGCGGCACGCTGCCCTGCAGGGAGACAGAACCAAGCCAGCTCACAGCAGCCCTGGAAAAAGACAGCTCATTTACACAGCTCCTATGGAATGCCATTCCTGAACTTGGGGTTGGGTCTTGGGATTCTAGAGTGTAGGTTCAGGGTCACTTGAGAAAGAGGGGAAGTGTGTTTTCACCTGCGCCCACGTTGGGAGAGGGTGAAGTGCCTGAGACCAGAAATGCACAGAGGGGAACTGGAGAGCTTGTACTTGTTTTCCAGCCACAGTTCCCTGTTTCCAGCAGCTTTCCAAGCAGATAAAATGACCATTTGCTACCAGCTGTAGGACTGGCCACAGCCAGAGTGCCAAGATGAGGGCAGTAGGATAAAGCTGTTGCTCATCTGGACATTCCCAATGGTGTTTCCTACTTACAGACTAGGTGCAGTGTTGTAAAAACCTGGGAAATACTTTATAAAAAAGTCAGTAGGAACTTTTTATAGCCTGTTATACCTATTCTACAACTAACCTGCACAACTTCAGGCAGAAAATAAGAAGGTAAAGCTCTGTTCTTGCTCAGCCTAAACTCTGGCACTGAAAACTCTAAGGGGAGCATCTGAGAGTGAACAAGGCAAGAGGAATCAGGAGACCAGGTGCCCTCCTCAGCTGCTGGGGTGGAGGCCACACCAGGACAGTTTTGGTGGCTGCAGGGAGGTGTCTTTCCAAGAGCAAAGGACAATGGAGCAACTTGTTTCTAGTTCCAAATGCCTCCTGCAAGTAGTACACTGTATTTACTTTAAATTAAGAAGTGTTGAAGCATCACAAAGATCCCTAATAATCTGCCCTCTTGCTATGCATGGCAG